GATTGTCTGGGTTTGTTTTCTCATTTTGTCTCTCATAGTTGAGGTCTACCTATGCTGTCAATGACAGGCCTCTCTCATCTTTTTAAGTGGGAGAACTTGCACAATTGGTGGCTGACTAAATACTTTTTTGCCCCATTGTATATATTCAACATTTTTATCCTACTTTTTTAAAGAGAAAACAGATTGATTACCTGCAGACTACTGTATACAGAATTTACCAGTTATTTATATTCTATGTATTCATTCATTTAATCAATCAATCATTCATTCTACATTTCCCCCCCCTCCACCTCATTTAAACAGCTTACAATAAAAAACAGTATAAAAACATAAATAAGAGCAAAGTTAAAAACAAATTTAAAAAGCAAGATTACAGTATTAAAATGTAACAGGTTAATAAGGTGGAGAGGACCCCCCTCATGACAACCATCCCTGGGGTTGCATATCACTCTTTGAAACCAATGCCAGTTGGCAGATCCAAGTCTTAACTCTGTTCCTGAAGGCCAAAAAAGAAGGAGGGAATATCTCACTCCCGGGGTAGGGTATTCCAAAGGGGAGAAGCAACAGCAGAGAAGACTTTCTCTGGAATCTACCAGTTTAAATTCTTTAACCTATAAGATCCACAATATCCCTGCATGACTGGGTGGGACAGTACAATACAGTTGGGGTGAGATAATTCCTCAGGTAACTTGACCTGTGTCATGAAGGGCTTTAAAGATGATAACCAACACCTTGAATTGGACTCAGAAACAAACTGGCACTCAAGCTTGTATAACAGAGCTGTTATATACACAACCCTAGGGGTGTCCAAGATGCTTGCACTTTTCATAATTTTGAAGCCTTTTTTGTACCATATATTAGAGTGAATATTATAGAAATGTGGTCACTAAGGATTTGCATTTGTGGCATGCATATTCAGTTTTTACTAAGGGTGTCTGTTTTTGAATACTTTTTTAATATCCCTGAAGACCTTAGTGATTATAAGAACTTTGGTCTTCCCCTTCTGACCCTGCAGAAAGTTATATTTGCAATTGATCTTTAGGAAGCTTCAGCTAAAAACATTTAGAACAAAAAGTATGTATTGACTCTCAATTTTAAATATGACTGGTATGACCCTTGAGGTTTGGTATAGTTCTTTCATCTCAGAATTCTGTTACCATACTGAGCAAAGACAAGTAATCAGCCACTGAGTCTTGTTAGCACATTTGCTGAAAATGATGCATTCTAATTTTAGGCTGAAATCTTATGTATCCACATAAGGCACAAATGAAAGTAAGAGAGATGATGAAAAATCAAAGGCTACCCTCAAAATCTGTCTCTTTCCCTATTAAGTTCATCCTCCAAATGAATTTCTACATCTGTTGAAAATAATATGTCATTTATTACAGTGAGCAGGGTTTTTTTCCCCTCAGAAGGGTGTTTCCTATTTTGTAGTCAGTGTAGCCTTCCTTCAGTAAAACCTCTTTTTTGTATTTTAGGCAAATCGTACCTGCCCTATCTGCAGAGCTGATGCTTCAGAAGTGCATCGTGATTCAGAATGACCAGTCTAAGAGCACAATTCTACTTTGGGTGTTCCTAGTCACATGTGTGTATATATATATATGAACTCTCCATTGAACTTAACCCGTGTGGCTTCCAGCCTTCCCTTTACACAAAAGGGTCAATGGACCTTTCTTTGCACTGTGTGATTTAATCAACTATAAAGCTTATAATTAGTCTTCACAATTATGGGATTGTTATACTAACTGTGTGATTGGAACTCCAAAGATATTTTTTTTCTTTTAGCTTAATTTCGTGTGTGCACTAACATTCCCTGGTTTTTGTGTGATCATTCCGAGTGTTGCTGCGAGATTACAGTGGAACGTGATCTTCTAGCATGTGCTTTTATATAAAAAGTGGTAGCTCCAAACAATATAGCAATCTACCTTATATAGAGCCTTCAAATACTGTGAGTGAGAATAAATGGTGCGGGTGGGTGCGTTGATCGCAGGATGTCTGTTATGTATGCAGGCGAGCAAGAGTTTGGCGATAGCGTGTGAGAGGACTTATATACCAGCATGTACTGAGGATGTATGTGTGTAGTATTAATTATGCTGCAATGTATAATCTTGTGTGTTATTTAAACAGTACTAGTACTGTACACTGGTTTCTTTCCTTGCGTTTGCAGTTGCACACTGAATGCAAAGGGTGCAGCAATTATAGACATTTGATATTTCATCCCCCATGTATTTAATAGTATAAAAGGTCCTTTTTGTTTTTATTCAGATAACTATTATGCTTCCCATTAATTGGGGGTCCTATATCTGTCATTATAGAGCATATTGATTCTTAGTTACAATTAATTAGCCTTAATTTTAGGCTGCTGGAATTTCTACATTTTTTTAAAAAAAAAAACTTGCAGCTCACTGCTAACTGTATAAGGAGTTGCAGCATTGCACAGTCAGGTAGCAATATTAAAAATTCTCAACTGATAACCGAAAAGCTTATTGTCCTCTCTCTTTTTTTAAATTCTTCAAATCAATATTGGTTCTTTTTGATTGAACTTTGGAATACATTGTTTTTAAATTTCAGAGAGTGAAGATAACTTTGTTTTGAGGGTTTTTTAATTTTTTTGTCTTTAAATACAGAAACCGAGAGGATTTTCAAATCTGGTGCAAATGCTTCTTGTATTGTTGGCAATATATTTGCTTAAATATACAGATACACTGGCACTAATTCACATTCCTTGCCATATACAAGCTACCGTATACAATTAAATACCTTTTAAAGAGATTTTTTTCCCCATTTTCAAAGCCTTCAGTTTTGTGAACAAAGTAAACCCTTAGCACTTTCTTAGAGATAGAACATTGTGATTCTCCCATCTTAGCCATGGTACCATGTTCACCTACTGCCTGGCAAGTGTCACAAATGCAGTTTCTAGCTTGCTACCCTGGGTAGCGAGTTTTTGTGTGGATGTTAAAGCATCCTCAGTATTGTATGGATAGTATGAAGAATATTCATGGTCAAGAATGGGCGGGTATACGAAATCAAGAAAAAAAAACTAAATGCTGTGAATATGGAGTTGACCTCCTTTCAACTGCCTTCTGAATAATGTAGTGGCAAAATTGGCATCACTTAACATTCTGGACTTGGTGTTTAACTTTTTTTTACAACAAAGGAAACAGTTGTCTACCCATGGCTACATGATTCTCCAAGAGAAGAACATTTATTTCTGGATTTCATTTATAAGCACCAAAACCTTTGATTGCAACGGCACAAGCGCTGCAGCTATTGCTGCGAGTCAGCTTTCTGGATCTTGTGTGTCTTTTCTGATGCTTTATATGCTGCTATATATTGAATCTCTTTATTCCTCCAGAACAGTGTTGGTTGTGAATCATCCTCCTTTCTCAGAGCTCTGATGACTAATCGCAGTGTGTGGTTCTACAAATTTTAAAAAAGCACAATTCCCAACAACCTTCCTTGTTTCAGATACTGTTTGCCTCTGTTTAGTAACTTAGACGCCTTAGTCTGTCCATAGTGTCAGGAACTGTAATCTGTGTGACAGATTTTACATGTTACAATTTTTCTCTTCAATGTGCTCTAAGAAATTGTCTCAGTGTGTTGAAAAGTTTAAATTATTGCACATGGTAAATTTTATTTTTTTAAGCAAACAAAATCATGGGTTGGGAAGTGGGAGGGAAGCCACACATGTTTTACAGAAACTCTGGATCTTTTTTATATTGCTGGATTTTCAAAAAAAGAAAAAGAAAAAAGAAAAAATTACCACGCAGAATTACCATAATATTACCCTGCTCATTGTCCACTGAGTACCCACTCAGTGTAAACCTTGTTTTGGTAACAGATGTTTTCTGGAACACAGTGAGGCTCATTAGTATCTTAATCCCAAGAAAGGGCTTTCCAGCCCTGCATCTGGATCCAATATTGCAGTGCAGCATCTGTCCCTTGAATCCCTGTTTCGTTTGAAGGACACTGTTGATGGAGGGATAGGACTGCATGAGGGGAACTATTCTGGTAGCATACTCAATTGTTGCACTCTTGTGGCAGATCTTTTTGAATGACTTGTTCGCTTGGGACTCTTGCAAATGTGTGCAGGTTTGCTTCCTGTGGTTAGGTTTGTGTGAGACACATGTGCATGTGTTTTGAACCAACTCAAAGCTGGCTGCAGTGGAATTCTGAACCCATTGTGGCTGGCAGATGAGAGGGGGAGATCATTCTTTGCAGTAAACTGCCATGCATTATGCACATTGTCACATCTAATTCTATAGCCCTCGATGCCTGACAGCACCTAATTATACTATTGGGTAGCCTCTTCCCCCTTATCCCTACCTCTCCCTAATGGAAAAAAAATAAAGTTGGCTTTATCATGTTGGCACTGCTGGGGTTTTATTTGCATGAATTGTCAACTTAATTTGACCTCCTGGCTTTTAAAAAATAAACGGTATAAAGGCCTTAAGGATATCTCTTTAAGGCCACACCTCTTGGTTTTCTTTTGCAGATTATTTTGTGGAAAGTAATTTCTTTTGTATAAACTTCTTTGTACAGTCTCCAGAATGTGATATTTGTTGCAGCTGTTAACATTTCCACTTCTTGTACTATTTGGGATTTACCAACTCTTAACTTTGCTTTCTAAAAACTCAACAACAAAAAAACTGTTATTTGTAGACACCAGAGAACGGTGGTTCTCTCACCTTTGCTCCCTTTGGTACCTTCAGTTACCTCATTTTGGGTTTTTGTTTTTTTTTGTGTTGCAGATTTGCTAATGATTATAAAAGCTTATGGATTTTGTTAGAATTATATTTGTCAGATGTTTTCTTTTACGATCATACTCCATTGTATCATTTAACATGTAGTTTTAAATGTATTATAAATATCTGTAACCAAATCATTTGAAGGCTTGATAAATTTTTAACAAAATTTGTACATTTTTTATGAGAGTTACTAGTAATGCTTTACTAAGTAGTGCAATGAATTTTTATTTTTAATCCCTGTGCCCAATTTTGGAGTTGAGAGGGTTGTTCAGTAATAAATGTATGATGTACACTTGGACAATTTTGTGTTTTTTCTTCTAAACTAGCTCTTTAAAATCTATTAATTGTCTTGAGAACCTCCCCTTTAATTTAAAAATAGAAATAGAGGTTGAACTATGTTCTCTATATCCACATTTATACAGGAAGAAAATTGTTAAAAACTCAAAACGACAATTTTATTCTAATTTAGCATTGATACATCATTTAAAATTTCAGCAACTGAAGGTTTGGAAATGCGCAGTCTCTTTAAAGAATATTGTTTTGAGTATTCACGTGGATTCCTATACAATACAATAGCAAAGTTGGAAGGGACCTTGGAGGTCTTCTAGTCCAACACCCTGCCTAGGTAGGAAACCCTATACCGTTTCAGACAAATGGCTATCCAACATCTTCTTAAAGACTTGCAGTGTTGGGGCAGTCACAACTTCTGGAGGCAAGCTGTTCCACTGATTAATTGTTCTAACTGTCAGGAAATTTCTCCTCAGNTATGTATGTATGTATGTATGTATGTATGTATGTATGTATGTATGTATGTATGTATGTATGTGTTTGCGATGAGGAAGGAACCAGAATAAACAATCCATGATATGCCAAACCAGAATTATCTGATATACATACATACATACATACATACATACATACATACATACATACATACATACATACATACATATGTCATTCAGATAATTCTGGTTTTACATATCATAGATTGTTTATTCTGGTTCCTTCCTCATCGCAAACTAATTATGATATGAAAAGTCCAAAGGGTTGAACTAAACACTACTTCTCTCACAGGCACTGCTGAACTTGGCAGAAAGACTGGGTGAGGCCAAACCAAGGGGATTGACAAAAGCAGATATTGAACAACTTCCGTCTTATAGGTTCAACCCAAATAACCATCAGTCAGAACAGACTTTGTAAGTTTTTCATACTTTCATTGAACATTTAGTATGAAGGCATGTTATCTTGTTGCTGGAGTCTTACACAGAAGCACCTCTAGGCTTAAAATTACTTCCCAGCTTATATATAGGTTGATCATTGGTTTTGAGGCTTTCTCAGTTTTCAGTTAAAATCCTTATTAACCATTGAACTAAAATCTTAAGCATAAGGCATTAACATTTTAATTCTGGCTGTATACTCACAATGTTTTAGATTTCAGAAGGGGCACATTTTCTATCTTGCTGCCATCTACTATACCGGAATTGTACTAGAACAGAAGAAAATTAGGTGGAGGAAAGGCTATTCCTATAAGATGAGAAGTAGCATTTCTGTAACCTCAGAAATTCAGTCAACCTTCCCTTCCTGTAATAATACATTGGTATCTGCCTTTGAAGTTTGCAATGTAGTCGGGTATAGATTTTCAAGGTGAAAATGTAGCACATAAAAACAGCAAAATAATCATTTTTTCTTGAATTTTTACCTCTGCTCATATATTTTTTTAAATATCTCTGCCTTATTTTTGTTCCTCCAAAATGATAATAAAAATAAGTAAACATAAATCTGCATTTTGAAAAAAAATAAACATATACTCCTCACTGAATCTCTACAATGAGAGTTAGAAATTATATGGAAGATTTAATTTAAAAAAACTCTATTATTTATCATTCATCACTGTCATACAAAAATTCTAAATAAGAAAAGTAGAAAAAAAGGTTGCTACAAAAGAAATGAAGATTAAATTGAGAATTCAACAATTTAATATTTGCATGAATTTAGATCAGGGACTTCTAATCTCCTTAAACAGGACTGTAATTTTTAGAATTGATTCAGCTCAGAGTGAAGCCTAAAACCTAGGTTTTTTTTCCCCAAAATGAAAAAATGTAGCAGCCTTTTGGAAAGCATTGCTGTGGTGCAATAATTCATTTTAGAATAATGAGTATAGTAAAACAAGGTATTCATACTTCAGTACCCTAAAACAACGAAAGCAGTGTAGTATTACTTTGAAATGTAAAAGCAAAATGCATTTTGTAAAGATATAATTATAAATGTAATTATATGAATAAATAACACTTATACAGCACTGCTATTTTTTTTAAATACCCAAGTGTTCTTATATCAAGATGCAGTTCATAAGAATTTAATATGAAGTTAATCAGTGAATTAATGAATTAATAATACATATTTTATATTCCCCAAAACTCTGAATTAAAAAAAGTGTTGAGTCATACAACTGCTTTTTTGTCAACAAATTCAAAATGTTAAAGATATATTCACTTCTATGCCGCTCATTTCAAGTAATGAAAATCTACTGTATATTAGATAGATAGAGTTGACCCACTGCTTACCTTCAGTTCTATTTTCATCTACTTGAAAATTGCTGTGGTAATGCATGTGAAATGCTTTACAGTCCAAGCAATATAATAACTAGGAATGTGTAAAACAAGCTGTTCCATGACAAACTGTTCTGCATGCAGAAATGCTGAGTTTGAGTGGTCTGTGCCCACACTGCAACATGCTGGTTGTTTTGTTTCAGGCATGGCACAAAAAGGGACTATTTTGATACAGGCACAAATGTTTCACAGAGGAAGGGAGCAGGAAAAAAGCCAAGGATATTGTCAGCTGAAGTGGGAAGGTGCAAAGAAGATTGAAGGCTGGCATATCAGGGATACTGTATGCTGTACTGGAATATCACAAGTGATGGGGAGAAAAGGAAGGGAGCTGGGAAGATCAGGAGTAGGTGGGCCATTAGGAAGTTGCCACTCTGGGAGTCGCTGATGAAAATGGGAGTTTCTTGCCTGTTTGGATTTTGCTTCATTCAAACCCTGAAACAACAAAAAGATTCCAGTTTTTGTGGAATGGATTTTGACCCCAAGAATGCAGTGGTTTATTCTAAGTAGGAAAGTGAACATTTTTCCCATTTCATGTAGGCCTGCATAAATGACCAATCCTAATAGGTATTATTATTTGCTCATAATTGATATTGAACTGTATTTTTGGAGTTTAAATTTAAAACAAAATCTGACACTGATTCATCAACATGCACTGAAATGTATGGCTTTTTATTTTTAAGCTGCATAGAAAACAGCTTCAAATTTTTGAAGTAAAAAGTTGTTAAATATAATTGTTGCTTTTGTTCAGTAAACTATCTTGCAATGTTCTTTTTTAGGTGTGTAGTATGCATGTGTGACTTTGAGTCAAGGCAACTGCTTAGAGTTTTACCATGTAACCATGAGTTCCATGCCAAGTGTGTCGACAAATGGCTTAAGGTAATGTTATTTTAAGAAAGAAAGTTGTTTAATCATGTCCATATTGCACACAGTAACTTTTCAATAGTCTAGCACAGGGGTGTCAAACTCAAGGCCCGGGGCCCGGATCCGGCCCACGGAGAGCTTAGATCTGGCCCACGGGGCCACCCTGGAAGCAACAAAGAATCAGCCCATGTTGCCTTTGCCAGCAAAAACGGAGCTTGGAAGGGCCATGTGTGGCCTTTGCAACCTCTGTTTTTGCTGACAGAAGAGGATTGCAGGAGGCCGTTGCAGCTGCAAATGGAGCTCGGAAGCCCGTTTTCATTGGCAGAGTGCTCGGGCCACCACAGGCACCCCCGACACAACTGATGTCGAGCTGGCCATGTCCCCCTGGCCCCCAGGTCAAACACAGTCCTGAGGCAGCCCTCAATGAAATTGAGTTTGACATCCCTGGTCTAGCGTGTTCAGAAGCATACTCGATACTTGGAGCAGTAGTTATCAAACTAGGAATAATTTATTTCTTTAAGATGTGTCTTTTTGTTGAAGAATAGAAAGTGTTATAATCTTTCCTAAAACTATGTTTTAAAAATGTCATTAAATATTTTTAAAAATGTATATTTAAAATTTAGCTGGTGTCGCCAGAAATAGATGTAAGAACAACAGCATTCTTCAAAACATAAGTTCAAGAGGAAATTGGAAATGTCAGATGATGCCTTAAGTTCTATTGTATCACTACAACGGTAAATTCTAAAGAATCCGTATACAAAACCTAATGTTCTGCATAGACAAAGTTATTCAGTTTTAATTTCAATGGCCTGTAAAAAAGGTATGTGCATGAAAAAAATTGGAGGAATTTTTAAATAGAATTAGATGTCACCATTCATCCTATTGAAATTATGCAAGGGCAGAACTTTACCATAGTATCTAAATTGGTATCCTCACTAATGTACGTGGCAGTTATATACAGTGGGGCAAAAAAGTATTTAGTCAGCCACCAATTGTGCAAGTTCTCCCA